CCCCAAAACCCCAAAACCCCAAAACCCCATATTTATTCGAGAAGCTGAATAATTAATCTTCCTGCTAAAAAATGAGGAAAATCCATACCAGCCATAACAGAAGGAACATCAAGATCTGTACAAACGGTAAGTGCAGAGTGGCTCCTAGAGATATGGATAGACCTCCAAAGGGTCTTTATTTTACTAAAAGTCATCAGAATGTTCTGATCTGGAGATATTATAGAAATCCCAACCAGCTTTATCCAAGTAAGGGAGTACCTTGATAGTCCAACACTGTATGTAAGTGGCCTCAACAGCCCGATCAACAGATGCAAGTATAACACAGATTGTAAGAATAGGCAAAATTTCCGCAACCTAACGAGGTAAATATAACGTTCCAGCTTATTACACTTTCTAATTTGGTCTTATGATAACCTAGAAATAAATAAGCAGAGAACTCATAAGCCTATCCTATCAGATAAGAAGAATATATCAAAAGGAATAGAAACTTTCCAGAATTCATTGTTAATAGAAGGACAAAAAAGCGTCCTAACTCCTCAGAAGAAGCTTTCTGGATGGGCTATCAAATACCAGGTGAATAAAATTCAGAAGAAAGGTTCTTGTTTTAACAAGAGCTCAAGACTTTTTCATCAAAACCCATGCTCGAATCCTATCACTCCAACGAAAAGTCCTCAAGGGTTCCTGTATGGGACATCCAAAAAGCTGAGAAGAAGACTTAGACTGCATTCTAAAATTTCAAAACACCCCAAAGAATGTCTATCTAACAATGATGTCTCTGTTTTGTCTCATGATACATCTGAAGAAATGCTGCCAGCTGGCCAAATACACAAGCGTAATGGGTAAGGAGTCTCTAACTTGTATAGAAGCAATGCTGTGATTAAAGTTCCTGCTACCGGTGCTAAGACATCATTAGGAAGACCACATAAAATATCTCTAAAGCAGCCAAAAACTAAGACTAATTCTAGATCAAATTTATTATCCCGTTCTTCCAAATTCTTCGTAAGGTCTGACTCAGTTGAACATCCTGAAATCAGCAATTCAATACCTCCTGTCGACAATGAACAAATAGAAGACATTACTAAAGAAGTTCAAGGGGTATTCGTGGCTAGCCAAGCAAGCAGATTATGCCCAAAATAAGCAACCCAAGAAATACCATAATAATACAAATGTAAGTTCTCGGCTTAAGCATAGGTAAAACTTGTATTCAAAGACAAACTCCTTCAAAAGAAATTTGGATCTCTAGAAAGAAAAGTGAACCAGATCTTGGTTAAGAATTCGAAAGCGAGGCGTAGATGCGATTCGATAGAGCTCCTTAATCAAGGACCTGAGCAGAAGGAAGACTTTGTAGAGCAGAAGCTAGAGACAAGTAAAAATATATAGTAAGTTAGTACCATGATAGCTTAATTCTTATACTTACATCCTTGTAAGGTAACATGAAAGCCTAGAGCAGCAATATAGTGGAGGAAATTAGCAATAGTTTATTTCTCTTTTAAAAAATTAAAAACATTTGGCTGTGTTTTTGCTTTTCGAATAAATTGTAGCTCTAAAAATTATGACTTCACAAATTCTTAACTAAATTTAATCTAGGCTACTCAAGCCAAAATTCAGACAATCACAACCCATAAATCAAAGACAAGGTGAAGGATAAAAATGAGCACTTCAAAAATGTATAGTGAAGTCAGTTATTCAAGCAGAAATGATGTCCCTCTTGAGTCTTGATCCATGAAGAGAAATTCTGACCTTGAAATCGTCCAAACCCAATGACAAGAAAAGGCTGTTGAGTCCATAACTCCAATTTTCAAGGGGCCAAATACCATCATTCTTGACCCAGCAGTTCGTGAGAGAGAAGGAATATGTAAGGATATAGCTTATTGCACTAAGCTGACTAACTACTGTCTCACTACATTGGATTTCCTCTGAAATACCATAAAATTCTATGAGGAATTTCCCTGCCTTATCTTGGTGTAACTTTATAATATAGATAACCATCCCAAGTTTAGACAAGCCAGCAAACTAAAGTCCTTGCTGAACTCTAAGATTGATATGATCTCAGAAGAGCAGGAGCAGCACAGGCCTATATATCCATACCTAAAGTCTAAACTGAGTAAGAACAAGAAGGGCAAAATCGTGATTAAAAAGGAGAAGTATGCAGGTCTAATAAAGAATTCGTATCACCTCTTCAGCCCTCTGAGGAAGCCATAGTTGAGGATTATTCCCAGATTCAACAAATACAAAGTAATTGGGGTTTTGGGGTTTTGGGGTTTTGGGGTTTTGGGG